ATTCCGCCGATCGCTCACAGCGATTAACAAAACAACCACCCGATGTCCAGGTAACAATAATTATTGTTACTTGGACATCATTTTATTATACCAATAATAAACACATCATATCAAAAGCAAAAGTCCACCAAATAATCAAACAACAAACAAACAATAAAACCTCTCACCTCCCGTGTATGTGCGTATTTGCAGTCTCGTCCCCAGGTGCACATACCCCTCAAATAATACTTGCAAACACCGCCATACTGTGGATCTTGATCATACCATTGACGGGGCTGATGTATTCCAGGTTGGGGCTGATGATGGAGTAGTGGAGGCGGAGGCGAGTTCAAGCGAGCCACAAAAGTACGATTAGTGCCCACTCGAGTCGATGACAACGCATCCTGCATTATTCAGTTCAGAGATTTACAGCGAAAAGATTTCAGCACAACCTCAGAGAAGAACTGTACAAGACGCTAACTACATTTCAAAGTGAAACGTAAATTTAAGTAATAAAATAATTTCATCGTAAGGGCGAAGATTACTTTGAATGATAACTCTATAAACATTGTACTGTTCGAATACCCAAAACACCATTTCAATGAAAGGCTCCAATCAAAACACAAGGAGAAACATATAGGGAAGGCAACATCTTTATTGCATATTCAGATAAAATGCATGCTAATGGTCAAAACAAAGGCTTTATATGAAAGCTGAGAGGCTATATCTTAAGATGTTATCTACAAAGACGATCTTTTAGGAACGTGAGAATGGACGACGGAACAAAGGCCATAAAAGACGGCAGTCGAATCGACAGGAGGCGAGTCGGATAGTCAGTGAAGTCGAAACGTAATCTTCGCTTATTCCATAATCATTCAATCCAGTGTGTTAATTGGCCAGCGATCATGTTTTCAAATTACTAATTCATATTATATTACTAATCTGCTCATCGTATTGGAATTATTCTTAATTCACGATTGGCCTCTAATATATTGTGTTCTATTCATTTACATCCATATTCAGCCAATTATATCACACTCATCAGTGCCGTGTATATTCATAATTACTCATAATAAACCTTATTCAACTAATCATT